AAAAGTGGAAAGCAGCGCCGGGCTCTGGCGCTTGACTCTTCGTCGACAGCGTCGCCAAGGAAAGTGGTTTTCGATGCATTCTTGGAGCCCGTCTGAGACACTGAGAATGTCAATCCGAGGTTGTCACATGGCACACCAGGACGCAGAGAACACTTCCATACTAGCCGGACCCTCAGTGTCGCCCGAAGAGATCCAAGAAGTCCCCCGTGCGATGTTCACATCTCGTAGGTCTTGGACGACACTGACATCACTGGTGTTGCAGCCGCATGGGCTGACTTTGTTGCTGGAGGCCTCAGGGGTAGGAAACATCCTGCTGAGTATATTGCGATCGATTACGATGTACACTGCGACTGGGACTGTGGATAAAGCATCGACACAAACGGCATGAGTTTCTGAAACTCGTCTGGGGACTGAAGCGATCCATCTCTTCCCGTTCCGACGAATGCTGAACACCAGAAGCCCTATCAAGACCACATGTCATCAACATTTCTTGATTATGCGTGGGAGGACATGGAATTTTCCGTTTTGATTCTGGGCGCTGGCGAAGCTATCTAGGGCCACCCAACGTGCTGTCATTTTGCCTTAAATAAGCCGTGGGAGCCGACAAAACCTGTACGAGGATCGATATCGGTCCGGGAAGCTGAACCTGCTATCCTCGGTTGAGAAGCGGAACTTGGGGCTGCCGGCCTGTTCTGACCTGCAGGCCGCTTAGTTGAACGAGCGCCGCCGCACGAACTCGGTCGATACCGGCACGGCGTGGGCGAGGCCGAGCACTGAGGAGCACACGCAGTCACAAGGCGTTCGGTTTAGGAGCCGAAGCCAGTAAGAGTCTGAGGTGATCCCATACGGAGCAAGTAGATGACCGGCGCCCAGCTCGTGTCAGTCTGATGATGTGCACGACGGCTTCCGAACGAGCCGCCTCAACTGCCAGTAGGAATTCAGCAATGTCCCTTGGTGCAGGTGGTGCCTGTGGGTCTGCTGGTGCCGATTGGGCATGTGGCGGATGCGGTCAGGCGATCGCCGACTCCGTATTTAGTTTGTGGACAGCCGGCTCGCGCCTGTTACCTTGTTCCTGTGACATCATCGGCCGCAGCCACTGGCTCGGAGTCGTACGTCGCCGCTTAGTATGTGCGGATTAGCACAGCAGTTTCCGTGCTCCGCCATGCCTGGCTGAGGGAACAAAGGGCGCATGACTTGTGCTCACAATGCAGACATGGGGGCAGCCGAGAGGAGAATCGTGGGCTCTGCTACAGTGGTGAACCTCATCTTGTTGCAGTTCTTGTCTGGTTTTGCCTGGGCAGTTCAAAGGCCCCAGGGCTTTGTTGTCATTCTCTTTGAAAGAGCTGGCTTTTCAGGCCCTGCAATTGGTCTTATCTCCGCCGTAGGGCTCGTGGCACCGATTATCACCGGCCCTCTCATTGGTTTCTTAGCAGATCGAACAGCGGCCCATAAAAGACAGTATTTGTTCGCTTCGACTTCGTTGCTGAAGGCGTGCTGCCAGTGTGCTGTTTGGCCGGCTCTTCGGTTAGCTCCCGCGCGTCGGTCCTTTGGGTGGGTATTGGCATTGGTGTGTATGCAGGCAGCATGCTCCCCTGGTGGTCTGTTAACGGAGATCACTTTGCGTTATGTTGGGACGGAAACTTATGGCAAAGTAAGGCTGTGGGGAGGGGTCGGGTTTGCCACGGGATCCTTGCTGACTGGACTTCTTGCGCAGTGGCTGGATGCATCCCTCGGCTATGATGTTATCTTTTTGGAAAGCCTGGCAGTTGGCTTGGCAATGTCTGGCATTGCTGTGTGTCTGTCCCGCACGTGTCCACGCGAGCAGCTGTTGTCGACATCAAGTGAGATGGTCTCTGGCCGAGGAGGTCAAGACGTGAACGAATCAGGTCAGTCTCTACACTCGCGGCCAAGACTACGAGAGCTGATGCGCTTCGTCACCTTACCGCGCGTGGCAGTGACGCTGGCAATCGTGGTGGCTTTGGGTTTCGGGGAGGGAATAATGCAGACGTACACATACGTGAGGCTACAGCACCTGAAGCACGGATCTTCCACGATCATGGGCCTCAGCGCCGTGTGCATGATCATCTCTGAGATTCCATTCTTTTATTTTGCAAAAGACATCATCGACCGCTTTGGAATCATGCAGCTTACCTGCATTTCTGGCCTGCTGCCGGGGTTCTAGCGAGATCAGGGTGCGCTTGCTGCAGCGAGATCGAAGCATGCAGTCCAGGCCGATCATGAGTCTGGCGCTGTTTTGCACTGCCCTTCGGCAGGCATGTCGTCGAACTGCTGTTTTCGCATGCCGTCATGTGCCGTCTCTGTGCCCAAAGCTACCCGGTGCAGGCTTGGATTGCATGGCTTTGGGATGCCGCCTGGGTGCTTCCTGGAGAGCTGCTGCATGGAATCACCTTCTCGATTGCCAATGCCGCTGTTACGCTTGATGAGGCTCAGCTGAAGGGAAGCCTTGGCGCTTTTTTTTTGACAGGTTGGGGCGAGCAGGGCACCTGCTGCAGCAATTTACAAAACAGGAGAGTCCTTTTGGTTCATGTGAGGTTCACGACATCGCGCCGGAACAGCTCCAGGCAACGATGCAGAGCCTCGTGGGCTCTTGCTGGGTAGGTGTCGGTCAAGGCAGTGCTGCCTGGGTTGGAGGTCTCCTTCTTCACTGTCTGGGCGAGGTTGCGCTTTTCAAGATATCAGCAGCTATTGCCCTGGCCAGCTCGCTCCTACCTGCTGTCGTCGCTTGCACTTCTCTTGCTAAGCCACCAGCGGCCACAGCTGCCCCGTCGACAACCACAACCTCGCCTTGATATGCCGGCTTCCCCGTTGCTCAGGTAAGCCACTGACAAAGTGTGGGCTCTGGGAAAAAGAACAGCTGCCGGATCAGTCTTGCACTTGGAGTTGCTCCGTCGCATAGTATTCAGACTGGTGCAAGGTGCGGCAGTTCCGAGTTCAGGGTTCGGCAGGTTTGGCAACTTCTGTACCGGGCCACCAAGCCACCGAACCATCAAACACAAACAAATGTCATCCGACTCTGAAACGCAATGGTTTCCCAGCTACTGGTACCAGTGGCCGTCAGCTTCTGGCACAGCGGCGCAGAACCATCCGATGACAGGTGCGCTACTGCGACGACAAATGTGGCAGCCCGGGCCTGAGTACCCGCGATGAAATCCGATGAAAGCCCGTTATGATTCAGTTATGATGAGAAACTGCGCTTGTCAAGGAATCCATTGGTCGTTGCACCGAACCGTGTGCTCGTCCCGGGCGCGACCTCCTCCAGCTCTTGCGCAGCCCAGCGAGGCAAAGGTTGCATCCTCGAAGCCTTTTGGGATTCCGTAGAGCTGCAGGTCCTGCCCTCCAGCCTGCTTTTGAGCCGATCGGATGGAGTCCGGGCGGCAGATACCATTGGTGTAGGCCTTTGCATGTGCTTCGGTGCTCAGGTCTTACTTGCTTCCAAGAGCCTTGTCGTTGGTGACGTTCTCTGTTCGGAGCCGCCCTTGACCTGGCAACCTGTGCCTGCCATGCCTTTTGCTGAGTATGCAACAAAACAGGGGCACGCTCGAGCGATCACCCAAACCACTTGATCGTTTTCGTTTCGCTTGAGGCGCGCAAGCCTATGCGCTCGATGCGGCGCCACTCAAGCGCTGCTGCGATGTGCCGTATGCCAGCAGGTCATGCGAGCGACATGGAAGACCCAAGCTTTTAGTAGCGGTTAGCGAGCCCTGCGCTCAAGTTAACATTTCCTTCCCCGTGCAGGTTAGTTTCTGCGCACGTTGCCGTTCTACATCATCTAGTCCGTGCACGATGTGTGCGGACACCCAGAGCCTTACTCGAGCTCAAAAGTGGCAAAACCTATTTGGTGCGACGGAAACTCGGCTGTGGACTTTGGATGTGAGCTCATCTGCTGCGTGGCTTAGGCCCAGAGCTGTCCATCACGCAAGGGCATGTCGGATGCGTGGTGGCACGTGGATTTGCCAGGGTCCCAGCGCCCCACACAGTCCTGGGATCCAGCCAGTCAGGAGCCTTCACTCTCGTCGGCTTGGAAGCAACTGGCCAAGTTGTGACAAGCTGACAATCGTCCTCTTTGGCCGGCATGCCGCCGACGCTGCGCCGAGATACTCCGTGATTGGGAGGAAGGTCGGCTCCAGCCAGGTGACTTGTTGAAGCCTTCTGAGGCACCTCGGCTCACCTTGTTCCTGCAGCACGACTTGCCACCCAACGCAGATTCTTAGGTTGTCATGCAACAAGGCAGAGGATGCTCAATCTCAGTCCAGAAAGCCGAGTTCTGAGATTTTGCGAGGATCGCGCAGTCTGTCCTGAATTCTTTTGAAAGCTGAAAATTTCAGCTCAGTTTTTTGCATCAAGGTTGCGCACTTCTGCTCGGCTGTGCGCTGGAGCGATGAGCGTGCTCCTGCTAGTGTTTGCTCTCTGGCTATCGATACCACAGCTTTGAGCGGAGGTGCGGAGGAGATCCTCGCAGCTGTGATCGGTGGGCGCATCGAGCACACCGCTGCCGGCAAGCCGGTTGTGACCCAAGAGGCAAGATCGCTTTTGCAGACAGGGATGTCCGCATCTGCAAAGGTCGGCGTTGGGTATTATCCGTCCTTCGCACGGCTGAGAGCGGGAGCCACGTCTTGCGAGAAGGCCGCGCATCGCCCGCCGTTGCTGGCTCTGTCACCCATAACCTGCAGGCGAACGTCAGCTTGCGGTTCCTGCAGGGAAGCAAGCATGCCTTCACCATCGAGGCACCAACTCCTCGTAGAAGTAGAAGCAGCACTATGTAATAAGGGTATTCATTTGAGAAAAAAACTTCTGGGACGCGCTCATTCTCAAATGACGCGATGGGGAACAGAAAACCCCGGAGGCTGTGGTGAGCCAACCTATTCCTGAGGGTGCAGCGCTGCACCTGGGTTGAGCTGCGCGACGACCGGGAAAACAACAAACGGGCGTGCACTCGGCCTGTCGCAAGGGAGAGTTATATTTTCAGCTGCTGAACTTAGGCCCGCAGCTGCGTCGACTCGGTGTCGTTCCCCTGAGGAGCTCGCGATTTGCTGTCCACCTGGAAGACTCTTCAGGATTTGATGAACGCTCGGCTCCTTTCCGACAGGCGGCATCGGTGACATCGACGGGATGCTCAATGCGCTGTCCAAGCGAACCTCCTGCCCCACGCCGATTTCGTTGGCCGACGTGTCTCTCGCCTGTCGGGCATGGCTTTCAGGTCGCTGGTTACAAGCTTCCTATCTATGTGAAGCCGCACAGGCAGCGGCAACCTCAGGGGACTTGAAGCCGAAGCGTGTGCCGCCCTCCTCACTGCATGAAAGGCATCAATCAACAAAGTCACCTTGCAGGAACAATCTCAGTTTGTGGGTCCCAAACATGGAGGGTGCAGAAGTGCGCTTGTGGCGCCCCAGCTGATCAAGCATCCGTGTAGCGTTTCCCCGACGTTTTCTGCAACCTTCATAGACTGATGTCCGCATCCTCCGTGGCCTGGCCGCACATCTTCCCATGGCTTGAGTGCACCGGGCCACACAGGGCCACTTGCCTGGACTTTGGAGACTGCATTCAGGTTGCTCCGAAGCTCTGCTGCTATGGGATCTTCTGCTGTGTCTTCCTCCTCCTGGCCGCCCTTTGTTGGAAGGATCCGCCCGCTCAGGACCTTGGGAGGGGGTGCCTCGGGCTGGGCTGCAACCTCTGCATTTTTGTTTTTTTTTTTGTTGCTTTCTCTCTGTCTCTCTCGCGTTGTGCCTCAGGATGTGACCTTGGAAAACGGCCTCGAGGCAGCTCTAGTTCGATCATATCGAGCTTTGTCTGAGCATCTCGTTTGCAGACATAGCCGGCGGCTTCATTCCTGGCTCTGTTTTGGGCAATACGTGTAAGCAAGAAGCTTAGGCACAATTCCGAGTCGCTGCCTCTGTTATTAGAGATTCAGGCAGGGATCTAGTACCGTCTCGTTGCTTAAGCACTGGTGCAATCGCTTACCTAAGAGGCCGTGCAGCCCTGAGAGGCATGGATGGAGCCCAGTTTTCGAGCCCTTCCAAAGGGAGCAAAGGGTCGGGTCGGTCCTCGTGGTGCTGCTCATCTGGTGCGACCTGGCCATTTGGGACGGGTTATTTGGACTGGGCTGGTCGTTGGGGCACACAGCGGGGTGAACCATGGAGAAGCTAAGGCACCTGTTCTTCAACACTAATTTTGGCATCAATTTGCAAGGCTTTGGCGGGCTTGACACTATTGCAAGATGCTGGTGCATCGATCCTGTGCACAATTCTCACTTTTGCGCGCTTGTCTTCTTAGCAGGCTTTCAGAACGGCAATCCATTCCATCGGGATCCAGTGAAGGCTTGCTGTCGTGGCTTTCTTTGCAAGTCGCTTCTCTTCTCGCCTCGAGAGGCCTTAGCCGAAGTTAGCCTTCTACAAACCAGGGCTCCGAAGCTGTCGCATGCGATGGCAGCCTGGGCCTTGGAATCCTTGGAAGCTTCAAGTTGCCGAAGTCCATTCCTCCTACCAAGAGGCGTTGCCAGCATCCTACTCCCTGCCAGAGCTCGCCGCCTATGTGGCTGTGCTGCAGAGGACCGCGGCTTTTTGGACTTGCTTCTCAGTGAGGGCACACTTCCTGCAGCTCAGTTCGGCAGGCTCATCATAAAAGAGATCCGCATTGCGCTGAAAGCCCCTGAGCTCAAATCCGGTTTAGTTTCGATAAGAAGAGCCACAGCACTCGGACCTAGCTCGGTGCTCCGTGCGTTTGGTTTTTCGCAGAGGTTGCATGGAGGCTACGCAATCACACCGCCAATGCGCTCCTTGCACCCAAGGAGCCGGGTGACTGAGCAATCTGTGAGTCTTGTGTGTGTGTGTGTCTGTCTGTCTGTCTGTCCGTGCACTGCGCTCGTACATGGGCACCTGGAGTCAGGCTTTTGCAACAAGTTTCACATCGACGTTTGCTTGCATGCCAGCGAAAACTGGCAATACCATGGGATGAGGTTTGGGACACCGAAACTCGTACCTGCAGAAGCCAGGTGGGCAGGACCCAATCCACCAAGAAAGTCGGAGCCTTTTCCTTGCAACAGAAGTTTCCGTTTTTCCCTGCCAACACTGACAATTGTAGTGATAGAAGTAATCTTCTTTCACTTGCCGAACAACAATCGAGCGTGTGTGTGTGTGTGATGATGATACCGAACATTCGCGCTCAGTAGGGGCAACCATGATGCAAAGCCGGAGCTTGCTTGACTTGACTGGGTAGCCGAGCTGGAGCCCCCAACCTCGGATTCACAGGGCAGAGCAAGGGTCGCAAGGGTCGCAAGGTGTATGTTGAACTGCTGCAGCCTCAAGACGGCAGACTGGAGCGTCTCAAGAGCACCATGGTTTATACTGGCCTTCGCTTTTCTCTGCAAGCGCTGCAGTCTCGATTTCTATTGCAACAGGAGCTTCGCAGAGTTCTGTCATCGGCTCTGATCCTCATGTGCCTCGGCGACCTTTCTGAAGCGTGAGCCACGAGTCGTGTAAGACGGCCCAAGGCACGATTGGGACCGCGTGCTTCTACAACCTTCGACCCTGAAGCAGTGGACAGATCCGGCTATCATTCGCCGATTTCGTGATGTGGCCGAAGTAGCACCGAGGATGTGGGTAGTTTAGTTGAGTTCTAGCATCTTGAGCGAGTCGGGACAGAAAGTGGCTTCAGGTCTGCACGAGCAGGCGGCCACCCAGAATTCAGAATCATGGAAACAGTTGAAGAAGTTTGTGGCCGAAACGACACGACGTGCTCTACCAGTGGCACCTGGTCACGCAAGAGATGGCAAAGTTACAGCAACGCAAGTGCAGACAAATGTCGAGCTTGCCCTGGGATTGGTGTGACACTCTCAGGAGGAAAGATACTCATTCAAGTCAGCTGTGCCTGTCTTCCTGGAGCTCTTCCGAACATACGGGTCTTTCCAGAATCTGGACTGCCACTACGCGGCAGTATGCGTTGTCAGCGGAATTCCGAGAGCAGGTTTCAAGAGTCCTTAGTGCGTTGTCTGTCTCCTCAGGCCAGGACATGAAAACCGTCCTACGCAGTTTGGACGAAACAGGGCATGGCAGAGTCTCGCTTAAGGCAAGGCCGCAGTCGAACCCAGCCCCAGGCATTCTTTGCCAGCCTCTGGTCGTTAGCTGTTGTCTCTGACTAATCTTAAGACGTGACTAATCCCTCTCTGTATCGGTGTACGCCAAATCCTCTTTGTCATTTGCTTTGATGTGTGCTTCATGCGCCGGTGGTCTTCTCCCCGAATGAGCGCATGGTTCCAGCCGCATTCCGGAGGCATTCTACAGCGTGCCGGAGGCCTTGCTCGCATTGGCAAAGGCAATAATTTACGTCCCGCTCTGCCAGGTGCCTAACAGCAGGTTCTACTTCCGAGAGTCGTCCCAGAGCCTTGGGCGCGTGCACAGAAGCAATAGCCGCACCTGCTTTCTGCCCCAACTGCTACTGAGGAAGTTGGAGGGGCTTGGACTTGTGGATTGGAGTCTGTGGATGCCCCGTGTTCTGGTCGGGCACCGCTTCCGGCAAGTTGGGCTAATTGCTCCCAGTTTGGGCTGTGAGGCGACGAACTATGTGGACGGCGCACACAACTGCGTAGCTCCGAACCCACATTTCTCAATCTGCTGCATCGACGAGTGTGGAAGTTGCGAGGCTGATCATGAGCCCGATTTGCATACATCGTGCACGGAATGCCCAGCTGCTGTGCTGCATATCCCAGGCTTACTGAGGCAAATGGAGGCTGGTGCGGAGGCTCGCGGCTTGCAGCTGCGAGCTCATCCCTGTGCTGTGCAGGTGCTTTCGTCTGTTTTCTGTTTGCTGGAAGGCCCCCACTTCATCACCGGAAAAGCTTCTGGACATCGCGAAGCATCTCACGCTGCCAGCCTACTGTAGGAATCCCTGCTTGATGCCGTGCAGACCACCGCGAGGGCAGCTCCGGATGTCAGGTTAAGCGGCAACTTGACGAAGGAACTGGAAGATCGCCTGGTTCCAAGATGCCGGGAGGTGTGCCTAAAACCATCGGCATGCGGTCCAAGTCCAAGGTCTCTATGAAATTGCCAATGCCAATGGAAAGGACCTCAGCACCGCCAGCAAACGTCAGCATGCCTTCTTCAAGCCCGAGCACCGCAGCACCTCCAGTCGCAGCACTAAGGCGGCCAAGTGAGCCTCCACGGCCGGCTCTTCGCGCAGTGGCTACACCTCTGGCAGCCCTACAAATGTGCCTATCCGCAAGTTCCCGGCTTTCAATTTGATCCGGCATCATTCTCAGTAGCACTCGTGCACACGGGCGCACTTCCTAGCACTGCCCAGTCGCGAGAGGAGTCGTCTTTTGTGACGTGGCTTGGCTAAGGCCGCGTGGAGGGACAGGTGCCTCGGCCGAGAGCCCGTTGTTTGGCACGAACCCTGAATTCTGCCCATGCCTGCAACCCACGCTGCCAGGAAATACACATGGAACGTTGAGGAGAAGGAGTCGCGGGATGCCGAGCTTCCAAAGAATGTCCAAGCGGCCGCTCTTCAACCTTTCTTACCGATGTTTCGTCACAGGTTTGTTTCAACATTGAATGCACTGCCAAAGCAAAGCTTGCACAAGAGCAATCTCCTTGCGTGGGGGCCGCCAGATTTCACGTCGTTGCCGAAGCTGATCTGCTGAGTACCAACCACGGCGATGGTGTTCAGGTGGTGGAGTGACGAAGAGTCGTTGCCGCTGTCGGAAACTGCATCCGATTCAAGTCCCCATTCGGTGTGCGTGAGATCTTGTCAGCGTGTGCTAGCAGTGACGGCTCTTCTGCTAACGTCCTTTCTGGGTCGGTTGTCATCTCTGGCATCTGCTTTGATCCTGCATGTGCACTTGCAGCGTGCCGAGGACAGCTGGTCTTCCACGGATAAAGCGATCGCATACTTCTTCAGCTTTCAGTTTGCAGCAGCTTGCTTTCAATTGTGTGCTGAAGTTTCGTGGATTCTCGTGTCCCCAAGGCCCAGATGCTTATTGTGATCAGTGGCATGCGAGACTTGATTCTAATGGTGCAGGAATCAGGCCGGGAGCATCAGAGCATCTTTCAGTGTCCCGTGCACCTACCCTACTTTGCACCTCACAGCAGAAACCACATTTGTGGGAACATGCATAGCTCTGACCATGTTTCCTACTAACCATTCCATGGGGACTGTTTCTGCATTCGTGGCACGCAGAAGCAATTGTAGAGCAGCACGAGTCCTGAAACAGCCGTCCAGCGGTCAGCTCAGAGAGACTCAGAGCTCAGAGG